CTCTTGCTTTCGGTGCAGTACGTGGTGCAGTGCGTTTGTGGTGTAATGTGCTTGTCGTGGTTCCTCTCCAGGTACGTAGTCATAATCCTTCCAATAATCCTAAACCCTAAACCCTTCCAATAATCCTTCCAATAATCTTTCCAATAATCCTTTAACCCTAAAACGTAAAATGAAAACGAAGCCTAAACGGATGACATCCGTTGAAGGATGTCATCCGTTTAAGCTTTGTTTTAATTTTATGTTTCTGTTATTATTTTATTAGATATTTTAATATTTTGATTTATTATTTTTGAATATCTTTTTAATGTATTTTAATAATGTATATTTATATTAGTTTATATTTAAATATTAAAATAATAAAATAATAAAAATAAAAAATTTTAACTTTAAGGATATAATTGGAATTAAAGATAATTGGAGAAGTAGAGGGAGAAGGCTGTGGATGTGGAGGGAGCAACACCCTAATAATAATAACATCGCCTCTAATTGTATAATTTTGTAGTAGTATTATAAACATTATCACCTCTAACTATGAACCTTTGACGACTTTTTTATTCTCGGCTCTATATATAAAAGATTTCTTAAAAAGAATAAAATTTGATAATGAAACTCTTACACCAATAATGAGAACAAGCTCTTATAGTGTATATCAATTCTTAGACTTTTGTTTGTAAGAAAGAACATTATTTTTGTTCATTGATATATAAAAGAGTGTTTGTATCTTGTTAGGAAATATTCCTTTCTAGTGAGTAAAATACGTTATTATTTATATTACAATATTTGTTTCAAAATGTTTTAGTTATGGATTGTTAAATCCAATTAAAAGTGGTTACGTCTAAAAGTGGATCAAACAATACTTGGTTTTGGATTTTGACAACCCATTTTACAAAATGCAGAGAAAAAGAAAAGGGTGACTATGTTATTAGTTTTTTCCCCTTTCTAGATTGAGGACATGAAGATAAGAGAAAGCATGAACATTAATAATGATTATTCATATTCGAATAACCCATTTGTAATTAACTGAATCCAAAATTATTTATATCCAAATAATCCAACAAATTAAATAGTCAAACTAAATATTAAAATATTAAATTTGAATTATATTAGATTAGCAATGTTGACCGGAGCTTGACTACTAGTTTAACTCTAATGTTCAATTTAAAAAACACATACACATAACATAATTCTACAAGAAAATGTTCCATTTCTAATTTAGAACTTGTTAAATGTCTAACTTTCTTGTTAATCATTCAATTTTGATGGTTATTTAATTAATTTCCTTAAATTTTGAAATGTTGATATATCTCAAATTGTTAATTTGTGAATAAAGTAGGAAAAAAAATTTTAGATGTTAAAATACTAAGTTTTAGTATATAGATCCTAACTATTTTGATGATGATACTCCAACGAAAATTTAGTAAGGAACATGGAGTTAAGAGTAATTTAACACTTTTAAAAGTTTACTCGTTAAATTTAATCAATCAACAAAAAATGGACAAAAAAATAACGAATTTTGTTTGAATGAAATTGGTTAAGTGAATTAAATTTCGTGAGTGAAATTGAAGTTGTAAAATTTAGGTGTCATTAGAGAAAATTATCTAAGCTAATTCAATTTGCTCGTTGAATCTTGAGAAAAATCTTAAAAATGAAGAATTCACTTTTGAAATTCATCAAAAGTAATTAGTTCAGCGAAAAGTGTGTACGATGATTTTGGAATTAAAAGCTATAAATAAGTTTTAATAAAGAAAAAATTTAAATACCTACTTCGTTCTCATGAGGTGAATTTCTGTTTATTCATATACTTTTCATAATATAAAGATTTAATTTCTTCATTTTGAAAACTGTGTACTAAACATAAATTTATCTTTTAACCTAGAAACGAAATAAACATTTAAACCCAAAGAAAAAACATCATGGAACTGAGGGGAGAAAAATATAAAAAAAAAAACTATATTAAAATAATTGAAAAAGTTTGAAAATGAACCATCCCCTTTTGTCTCTAATGATCTTCATGATATATATATATATATATATATATATATATATAATAACACGGAGAATTAAATTAAATTACGCAAGCTATAATTTTTAAAATAAAATAAAATTTTATAAGTAATGATGACGTTAGTTTCCATCACTCAAAGATAATTAATTGCATCATCAAGACCCATTTATTTTATTTCATGAAGATAGTAATCTGGATGTGCGTGTCAGTGGAGTGGGAAAAATCTGTAACATGAAAACCTTGATTATATATGTGTTCATAGTTTTCCACGAATTATTAAATAAAAAATTGGTCTTTTAATAGAATTTGCAACTGCACGTGAGAACACTCCCATAAAGAAAAAGGGACAGTGAAAAAGGAGAAAGACTATTAATACGAGACGCGCGTACAATGTCTGAAATGTCAACACAAGTCTTCGTCTTCAAACTTCAAAGCTCATTTCTTTAATTTTTTATTATGATCCTTCTTCTTACCAACCTATTGCAACTTCAACTTTAACATCACAATCTTCAAAATACACTATAAATCTTTCACTTTCAACTCAGTTACTTGCACATAATATATACTTTAATCACTTACTTTCCCTCATATTTTTTCATCGTATTCATACATAATCTTACTATATCTACGTATAAAGAAGGTTTTTTTTTTCTCGGAGCTGGGGGACTCAACTGGGAGCTCATAATCATGAAGAAAGGGAGCTTAAGCTCCGGTCTCAAACTCACTGTTCCTGCATCTGATTGGGGTTCATTTACCAAGTTTTTGTGAGCCTCTCTTTTGATTCAATGTGTTTGTTTTGTGTATGGTTTTGGCTGATTCGAATTGTGGCTATTTTGGTGTGGTAGGTCTGAGTCTGAAAATGAAACGTTCAAGGCAGGGGACTTGCTTGTCGACAAGGAAGGTGTTCGAGTTGTTTCTGAGAAGGAAGTGGAAGCTGTAACATTTTTCTCTTTAACGTTCTATGTTTTGCACTTTATTAGTTCCCTCTTTGAAAAATGTGTATGTTCAATTGGGTTGGTAAGTTGTTTCTCTTTTAGATTTGATCTTTTGATACTTATGAAATGCTTCCTCTGACAAGAAGGGGTTCCTGAACTTGTGTTGTTCGACAAAATGCGGCACTTTTTGTTTAGAAGAAGAAAGAGACTTTGCTTAAGATGGATTATCTGGTTTTTCTCCCTTATAATAAGATATTGTTTAAAAAAAAATTGGATTTGGAACATAGTGAGAAGGGGGTTGAATTTAATTTTTCTCTGACATTCGTTTTGTCTATAAGCAAACGGAACACAGGCTGCAAGCTGATGAAATTAAAGATTTTGTTCTGGAGACATTGTTCAATTTATGAAATGCTGAATCCATTTAGTTCATAATTTCATTTATTTTCTATCTAAAACAAAATTTGTTTTTGTTGTTTTCTAGACTTAAGAAATTTGTCTTGGTTTCTACCAGAATGTTGTGTGAACTTCTAGAGTCAACAGAATGTGCCAAAGCGTCATCCTTACTCTGCTTTTTTTTTTTAGTTTGTGTTTTTAACTCGTCAGTCATGGTGTAAACTGCTGAGCTTTTTGGGAAATTTGCAGGTTTCTAGAAAAACACTTTTGCATAAACTTATTTTTACATGTAAGGGAGAGATATAGTTAGAGAGAGAAGTCTGAAATTAGATGATTCATATGGTAGTTAGAAATAGAGAAATAATGAATTATAAAAGGGTAAAGAGTAATCTATCTCGCTTTTACCCTATGCAATGTTATGATCTCAATTTCTCTGCATTACTTTGGTCCTTGATACAAGAGGTTTGAATTTTGGAGTTCCTGTTTAGTAGTATTTTGTTTGGTCAATATACTTTTGAAAACAGGTTACATCAGAACTGAATTCTGATGATTTTGATTTTTAGTTTAATATCTGTGCTGTTTTCAGCCACCACCAATCACGCCACTAGACAACCAGTTGAATCTGGCAGATATTGATACAATCAAAGTGATTGGAAAAGGAAATGGAGGGATAGTGCAATTGGTGCAACACAAATGGACTAATCAATTTTTTGCATTGAAGGTATACTGCATACATACATTGTTTTGAGCTAGCATCTTCTGTTTCTTTTATCATTGTTTTTGTACAGTCATGTCAACTCAAGTCATAATTTCAAAGGTAAAATCATTTTCATTCTCCATTAAATCCATTTCATGGAGAATTTAGATTTTGTGATATTAAATTTTTTTTCTCCATGAAATTAGTGAGAGTCAAGGGAACATAAGGTTTCAGGAAGTTTTGATCTTAAAAAGGGTTTAACAAATTGGTTTCCTAAGGTGTAAGTTCATTCATTCAACTAGTTAGTTTTGTTGCAGTTGCTTTTTTTTTTTCATTATATCTAAAATACCATATCGTTCATTCAACATTAGATCTGTTGATGTCACTGAACATAAATCATTGAGATGTGGATAACTTAATCAGTTAAAGGGGACAAATTCAGGTAATGATCAGAAGAGTACAGTCATAATTTTACAGGATATTAAATGTATTAATTCCATTAATTTAATATCCGTATTTTGGTGTTACTTGAATAAGAGACTGTTTCTATGTTTTGTAAAGGGAAAGTTATAATGAAAAGTTGAAAAATAGTTGTATAATGATCCTAAATTTACAATAGAAAAGATAAAGGAAAGGTTTGTTTTGATTTTCAATCTTTTATATTGAATATTCTAGTATTCTTGTGCATGAAGATAATTAATTTGATAGATGTGGTTGGTCTCTCTCATTGATTTTTGACCACATTTTCCATAGAGTTCTCTTATCTCTTCCTTCTTTGAGTTAGACTTGAGAAAGAAGGGACCATGAAGAAAAAAAAAATATTTTTCATCCCTATACTTCATCTTAATTTTTTACACACTCTATTTTATATAGCTTCATTCTATTTGAGTTTTCTCTCCATAGTTTCGTGCTGGTTAGTTTTTGGTCCAATTTCTTACTAGACATGATTTTTTCAGCCCTCCAGCCTACACAAATCTACCCCATGGAAGTTTGGGTCAAAGTGTGGGTAGGTCCACACACAGTCAACATACGTTCTTTCTTTCTTTTTCTTTCATTAGTGTATACAATTGCTTGTGTTTTGAATATGACTAAATATTTATGTTCATTATTGGTTTTATAGCATATTAAATGTGTTCTTGATTTAGGAAATTCATATGAATATTGAGGAGCCTATTCACAGGCAGATAGCACTTGAGCTAAAAATTAATCAATCAGCACAATGTCCTTATGTTGTTGTCTGCTACCAGTCATTCTACCATAATGGTGTCATATCAATCATATTAGAGTACATGGACGGAGGGTCCTTAGAAGATCTTCTGAACAAAGTTAAAAAAATTCCAGAGTCATATCTTGCTGCCATCTGCAAGCAGGTAAGAAATAAGACATTGCACTTCATCCTTGCACCATCTGATTTTTTCTCTTTTCATTCCTAACTAGACTATATGCTCCTTTCTTTGTTTTATCACTACAATGTAGGTGCTGAAGGGTTTAATGTATCTTCACCATGAAAAATACATTATCCATAGGGACTTAAAACCTTCTAATCTGCTAATAAATCATAGAGGGGAGGTAAAGATTACTGACTTTGGTGTAAGCATAGTCATGGAAAATACATCTGGTCAAGCAAATACTTTCATTGGCACACACAGCTATATGTCTGTGAGTAACACAAGCAAGTGTATCTATCATTTTTCCTCTTGGCAATTACATTTGCCACCATTTCATGGAATACAACTTGTCCATCGTGCTCATTTTGCAGCCAGAGAGAATCACTACTGACCAGAGTGGCTACGACTACAAAAGTGACATATGGAGCTTGGGACTGATTTTGCTCAAGTGTGCCACGGGGCAGTTTCCATATACACCACCAGATCAACTTGAAGGATGGGAAAATATTTTCCAGCTTATTGAAGTCATTGTTGAAAAACCTTCCCCCACTGCTCCACCAGAAGATTTTTCTCCAGAATTTTGCTCATTTATCTCAGCATGGTATACATTAACTATGTTTCAGTAACCAAATCATATAGCCTCAACCAACTTTTCTCACTAGAAGACAATTAAAACAAAAACACTCTCATCCTTAAATTAGTTGCGATACTAAGAGCCTACAATTCAAAAGCAGAATGAGTATGTAGCCAAAACATGTAGTCTGTCTAATGGTATGAGGCCTTATGTTCATATTTTGTAATATAGTATATCTAAATGTGTCTGAAGCCCTTTATATTTTTTAAGATATCTTATATAATTTCATTGAACAAATCCTCCTGTGTTTAAACATATCTTAGAGATGGACCTCCAATCACCATATAATCAGCTATTTTGAAATAAATTTTGTAACTGTGCGTTTTATGAGGCTTCTGATCATCCTTTTGTCTTTGTGTTTAGTTTGCAGAAAAATCCAAGAGATAGACCGTCTGCTCGTGACCTTATAGTATGCATAATCTCAACTATATGAGTAACCCATGTAAAACATATCAAATACTCGTTCTTACTGTGGATATCTCTGATTTAAATTTCAGAACCATCCTTTTATCAAATTGTATGAGGAGGACTTGAATGTGGATCTTTCAACTTATTTCTACAACGCAGGATCTACACTTGCAACCATATAGAACATGGTATGTTTCCGTCCTGGACTTTATTCAAAGGTAATAGAGTTTGTGCTATGTATCACTTCACTAGGTATTCTTGAATGCAAATTACCTCAAACAGAATGTGTTGATCTGTCACTGTAGTTATTTCTATATGGAGGGAGCAAAGCAAGCCAATGTTTTAAATTGCATGCGGTTGAAATTTTGTAACTCTAAATATTGTAAAAAATTAAGGGGTAAATACAGCTGATGCAGTCACTTAATGTTGCAGTCAAAATTGCAATCGCAGACTGCTTTTTAAAACCTTGGTAACTGCTATAGGTACTCATGCTTCGACACTCAGATTATCTGATTGATTTCTAATTTTTTATTGAAATGATCATTTGTTTTTAAAGTTTGTATTGTGCTACTTAATGGATTGGAATACTCTTCTAAAGCCAATGTCATACATTTGCAGATATTATTACCTAAACTGCAAGTAAACGTGGAATGTGCTGGTTTGCTTCCAAGTTTCCAAGTCTCCATAGTAAATATATGAGGCCCTTTCACATAAACACACAGTTCTGAGCAGTGAACGTTATGGCATTCTCTGTGAACTTGGCAAATGGCAAGTTCTACTGTCACTTTATATGTAATTGCAATTTATATTCCTTTACTTGGTGGAGGATCCCCAGTTGCCATGACCAGAATTTGCAGAATGGAGCCAGCGAAACCAGCTTCTATGATTATGTCAAGGCATATTACTGTGTTGCCAAGATAGAGTCAAATGTTTTATAGCACAAACTCTTCAGAGAAATTTATACACTCATTTGAAAATAACCAATAATATATTCAGTAGTGGTTGGGATGATTATTTGAGAAGATAATCTGAAACTTTTACAACATTGTTCATTAAAAATTAATTTAACTTTCTGATGGGGGCAGCACCAGAGTGACACCTTAAGGTGAGGCATCCCTGTGCGCAACAAATTCTGGCATACAATGCATAGCCCTGTTGAAAAACTGAAGGGCCAACATAATAAATAAATAAATATGGTAAGGACTAAAAGATACTTGTAGAATGGAATACATTTGAGAAATATTCCAGATAAAGGGTTATCTATTTTATTCTTTTTTCTTGAATTTTCTTTGGGGCTTCAAGTCTATAACAATGACAGAGATGTTATCTTTGCTTCCTCTTTGAAGGGCAAGTCTAGATAGATACTCTGCAGCATACTGAGCTGCAGGGTCAGGTCCTTGGCCTTGTTGTGATGATGAGTTGTTGCCATTCTTCTTATGCCAAAGAAGGATTCTCCTTCTTGCAAAGTCACAGGCTTCTTCATTTGTCATGACATCCCATAATCCATCACTGGCCAGAATGAGGCACTCATCGTTTTTGTCTCTCTGGATACACTTCACTTCTGGCTCTGGAATTACCCATGGTTTTAAGTACCTGTCACCTTTTAAGTAACAATAGCCAAATTTACATTCAGCAACACATTATACACTCTATATATAAAGTTTTTCATTTAAACAAGTTTTTCGTTTAAACAGTCTAAAATGTGAACGGAGTTCAAATTTGGTGATATTTGAAAAAGAGCAAAATAAGGAAAAGATATGAGAAGACTAATGGAGAAACCATTTGATAACAAAACAAAAGCTTTATGAAATGTGTTCTCAGAAAAAAGCTAAATATAAACATTGTGAGTATATTTGAGATCACAAGTCCAGGTAAACCTGATTATTTCTACTATTACTCACTGTTTTTAACTTATTAAAAGGCTCATTCATGAAATAATGTTATAAGTAAGTTTTTAAGTTATATCAGACTTAACACAGACAGAGAGCTGAGCATGCCAAATTCCATATATTCAAGTCCGATTAGATTATCCATAAATAAATTTTTGCACCTGTATAAATTGGTGCTATAAAACAACACAGTAAACACATACCTATGGATCTTGACACTGCCAAAACACCTAGAACTCGGTACCCATTCCATTGTATGACCCTTCCTCCTGAAGCTTCTATCCTTTCCCATTCATCTTCTCTATTTGGCTGCAAAAGGTGAAATACAATTTCTTCCATGAGATAACTAGAGCTTCTAATAATAGTCCATTACACAAATTGAAGCATGAACAAAATTTATATAGTTCTTTTCTTTGGTACCATTATTCAATCAGAATTAGAACTTCATCTCCAAATTCAACATTGATTTCAAATGTCAATTACTAAGGCGAAACTCCAATTTTAATTAAAGAACAACACCATAAACCTATGTAAGTGTATGCAAATATTGTCCTTGAAAAGAATGTCTTACTTTGTGATCATCAGACAATGGCATTGCTTCTTTTCCGCGACACAAGACAGCTCTTGAATCTCCACAGTTTGCAACTATTATGTGAGTTTGAGTCAAAAGGGCAACCACAGCAGTGGAGCCAACAGCCTCGGAAGCAAGAGGTTCAACACTTGCTCCATTATCTTCACCAACCCCTCCAACCTCATCATCTACTTTGTGAAAGCAATTGGAGAATGCCTTCTTCCATTGGTTCTCCCAGTTTTCTCTCCCATTCTGTTCATCAAAACTCGATTGTGCAGTTGTTATCTCATCAACCAATACTGAATGAAGATGTTCCCGGCAGTAATCGGCAACCTATGAAAACATCACCCCCCATGTGACATGGAATGGAATAAGGAGTAACTTGGATGATACAATTGAAAGGAAGTGTTTTAAGGCATACCTGACAGCCCCCGTGTCCATCATACACGCCAAAAAAGTGGGCTGGTGAAAAGTTTGAGTTTTCACTCAGATAATCATCCATTACCATCATTGAAGGAGCTTGAAAAAGATGAGGCCTAACAGCAATAGCATCTTCCATCTCCTCTCTCCTTCCACAAACCGATGAGCAACCCCATAGTGGGGTAGTACTGATGGCACCACTCAATTCCAAGCATGTTGCCTTCTCCGGCATCTCATGAACCACAGAAATTGGTTTTTTATCAGACTCATCTGATCCACTTCCATCTTCACTCTCATGCCCCCTAGCAACAGAAACCATGTTCTGCAGTGGCTCTATAGCTGCACCTGGCGGCTCAGTCAAACCTGCCCTTCCATGAACTGTGTTATCATCAACCTTTATGGTGATAGGTGAACTTATTTCACAACAATTAGCCACAGAAACAGAAGATTCCTCCCTACAAGGACTAGTTTTGTCAGCAGGAGTCGATTGAGAGATAGGCTCACACTTAAAATCCTTAGCCAACAATGATTGGATTTCTTTTCTTGCCTGCTTTAGGTTTTCAGCATGGAAACAATTATTGTTTCCTTGACTTACCATTTCTGAGACAAGGTCAGCTCCAACCTGGTTGTTCTTTGCTTCTGAAGACACTTTAATTTGGGGTTGAGGACCACTATCTGTGTGATTTTCACTTTCAATTGCAGGATTTAATATTAATACTGGTGCAGTGTTTGCCCTGAGCTTTAGGCCGGTTATCTCCATGTGGGTTGTCACTGATGGATCTTTTTGTATTAAATTCCCAAGTGAGAATGGCACTGAAACCGTCGAAGTTATTTCCTCCATAGGTTGTATTTATACCTTGTTTCAAATAGCCTTATCCTATTTCAAATAACCCTATCAACAAAACCTCTTCTCAATGACAAGTTCAATTGGCACATACACACCAAGAAGATTCCTACGGCAAGAAATTAAAAGATCTCAGAACAAATCTCCTCTACAGTGTAACAAGACCCGTTTTAGACATAAAAAGTTCAAAATCAAAGGTTATATTGAAACAGTGAAGCTAGACGCTAGAATAGCCCTATCATAGACCCTTTCTCTATTTAAACCCCAGCGGAGAACAGTCCAAAAAATCTTTAATTTCTCTACCCCTCAAAAATCTTTGATAAATTCCTGGAACAGAAGGAAATAGATGATTCAAGAAACCCAAATCCAAATCATTGTCAAAGTCGGTGCCTTGTCTCTCTCTAGCAAACAAGGGGACAAGGGAAATGGGGTCATCAAAAAATTAGAAACAAGAAAACAAGGACAAGAACAAATAGTAGAAACTAGAGGAGAAGTTCCTTGGATCTGAGGGAAACAACATCCACCATTGAAATTAAATTTCCCTGGTTTCACCTCTTGTGTTCCTTTCATGTGTCAACAACAACATGGCCACCCATCCTCATGTCAACTTCAACCTACTTTATGCCATTGCTACCTCTAATAAATTAGATACTTCCATTTGTTTCTTTCTTCCATGCATTCAGACTAATCTCTTGAAACAGTAAAAGCGCAGAGTTGTTGCTTACCTTCATAAAATGAAAAAGGGACCAAAACCTCAGCAAGTAGATGATGCCAAACCCATTATTGGACTATCTGCATCAAACTTTAGACAATCAAACATGTGTATGTATTTTCTTCACCCTTTTCTTTACTCCCAAAACAACAAAAACTGAATATAAAATGCACTCTCTACTCTCAACTCTCAACTCTCAACTCTCAACTCTCAACCAATGAAAACAAACACCCAACAGATGATTCATGATTGGTTGCCTTTTATCTTCAATAAAAAAGGCAGAAAACAATAGAATTCTTCCAGAAAATGTTTTGTTTTCTTCACCAACCAAAGAAAAAAAATGGAAAATAATTGTACTGTAAAAGGCTTCATTCACACTTGTTCCCGTGCTTAATGATTCAAGAGCATGACACGTAGCACTTTCGTTTCGTTTTTTAGTTGGTCGGTTTGGTTAGGTTACATCATTCCCTAACAAATATCTAAAAGGAACGCTTTCTTTAATATCAACGAAATCTGCACAAGATTTTGGACGTGAAAGTCTTCCTTTCTAACTCTCATCCATTCCTATCTTTTTGCAAACGTGCTTTCTTTTACAATATTGTTCCAAATGGTGATCATGTTAACCAGTCTGCATAACATTATTTTATGCATTTTGTATAAGGAAAATCTTGGGAATTCAAATAGAGGGTAATTCTCGAGTAAAAATAATAATTGAAGCACGACCTGAAAAGTCATTAAGGTTTGAGATAACGTATGATTTTTTTTTAGTCTCTGTATAATGTTTTATTTCTTTATTTTTATTCAATGTGAAATTTAAATTCAGACTTATATTCTTAACATCTTAATCTAAATGTCACAAAAATAATTAAAATTACAACATTGAGACAATAAATCGAACAATCATCTTGCAAAATAATTAAATCAATTTATAATAAAATATAATTATTACTAATTAAGTAATTATTAGACTGTTATTAATTAAAAAAAATTCTAAAAATTTATAAATATAAATAAAATGATAAATAATTATATTTAATATGTATTACTTATTTAATAGTGGAATTTTTATTAACTTTAACATTAAAATACTTTATACAAATAATCTCCAAATATAAACGAATGATTAGGATGAACGCTAACATAAGAACAAACGTTCAGATCTTCAACAATGTGTAACACAAAGTGTTTGTTGGACTTGGTGTTGTGTTGTGTTTGTGGGTGAATTTAATCTTAGTAAAAATAAAAGACAACGGAAGTAGAGGACGTAAGAGTTAGAGGACATGTGCGTGACGATGAATAGAAAGATCCCCAAGGCCTAGGGGAGATGCACGAACGAATATAATACACCAATTAAACATTTACATCTTCAACATAGATAAGGATCAGGTGATTTAGGTCACACAAAAATATTAAAAATTGCACTCATTTCAATATTATATTATCTTTCCGTTGATTTATCCCAATAAAGTTATGAGAGATGATGTATGAAGAATAAGCTGTTAGTGTGTGGGTATTATCTTAATACACACAAATATTCGTATTCACTCAATATGAGTAATACCTTTACACAACCAGAATGTGAGAATCTGCTTAATCATCAATTGTTAAAAAATTATATGAAATTTATAATAGACGGATTCACACTCATCCTATTCCTTTGCCGTCCCTGTAGAGATTAAATATTATTTCACATCAAAACAAAATCTTATTTTTCCACCTTTCTTAATATTCTATTAATTACTTCATAGTAATTAATTAATTTAATTAACTTTATTCAATTTTAGAATTAATCTATCGGATTTTGCCTAGTTATAATGATTTTTAAAATACTTTTTTTCTTATTTATTCTTAGAACATCTCTTTTATACGCTTGGCACTTTTTCTGTTTACAGTTGTTAACTGTTTTGCGTGTTGGTTTTTTCTTTTTCCTTTTGTATGTAATACGTGTAAGATAAGCTTTTGAGCTATTTTTTCCAATAACATCTTTTCCTTCTTTGTTTCCTCTCATCCCTGAGGTTCTGTGCTTTCCTTCTTGTCACGTCTGTCTGTGGAATCCTTTCTTTAAGCTTTCTCATACCATACAATGCCATGATCTCTAACATTTATTATTAAAATTACATATAAATAAAACAAGACTTACAAATTTCTTCTAATTTAACTTATGTCTTTCATCAAGTAAAAGAGGAAGTGTTGTTTTTAGTTACATGAAGTGTTTTAAAGTATAAAGTTCAAAAAAATTGTTTTTCTCAATTTATTTTTTAAAGTATAAGAAATAATCTTTTTTTTAAATGTATTTTGTTAACTTTTTTTTTTCAAAACTTTTCTATTGAAATATAAGTTTTTCGAGTTCAAGAAATTAAAAGAATAATAATAAATATTTTTTCTAGATAATTTAACATGGTAATACACATTATAAAAATAAATTAGCAAAAGCTAATGTTTCTTAAAACAATAATTTAGTTAAAAATTATAAAGTGTATTAATAAATTTAATTTAGTTTTCCATTAATACTAGAAGAATTAAGGTCATTAATAATAAGCATGTTTTAAGAAGTACATAATGAAAATCCTACTATACAAAATATATGTGGAGAGTTAATTCGCTTTTAAGTTGTTCTATGTCCTTCTAAATGTCATTCACAATCTTCTTGTTTGAGTGGAACTGAATTAAGATTTTTAGAAAGTAAATTTTACTCTGATATCTTTATTTTTTATTTTTTATTGTCTCGAAAATGCTATCTAAATCAGCGTTCAAAATATTACCTAAACTTTTTTCTGAAAAAAAAAACAATTAAAATTTTATCAAGGATAAAAAAGTTAAAAAGTACATTAAAAATAAAATCTAACAATTTATCATTCTAACCATATCTAAACCCTAATATTTTTATATAGAACAAATATCCACTAAAGGGCAAAAGGTTTGGTGGCCTACATAGTGTCATTTTCCAGCACGTTCCCTTACCCAAAACCAAGGGAAAAGCATAGATAAACAAAACCAACGAGAATGGTGGTGTCACTTAAAAGCTTCATGTGTGCATTAACGATGAATTAGGCAACTTTCACCATTTCATAATTTCATTATCACCACTAATGATTCCCTTCCTACAATACTTACAAAAACACTTGGCAAAAAGGATCTTTTGTCCATACCCAATTTCTAAGTCTAGCTTTATCAACTTGGAGAGAAAATGGGAGGATAAAAAGAAGCAATGATGTGATTTCTTGACATTAATAAGAAAAATGCTGATGTCTATAGATTGTGAAGGAGAAAGAAAAGTCATACGGGAAATGGCTTCAATACATGTATCAACATGCAATACACAGGATGAACTTAGAAAAGGTTATAATTTTATAATGATTAACGAAACACACTTATGTATAATCGTAAAAAAGGAAATTCTTATTTTAGGCCTTGTTTAAGGTGGTTGTAATTTTTCAGTTTTTAGTTTTTAAACGTGAGTTTAAAAACTAGTTGTTTTGATAAGAGAGGGTTTGAATGATTTGAAATTGATTTAAAAATAATTTTAGAACCATTTCGAAAACATAATAAAAAGATTTCCTAATTCTAATTTTAAGTTTTCCTAATTCTCACCTTTTTCAACATTTCTCCTTTTTTTGTCCTGTATCAACTCTTTCTAAGAGAATAAGTTCATGAAAGTGAATCAAACTTTGTGAATGAGTATTACAAGTTCCAGTATCCCAGAAAAGATAAGCTGTGTTATTTGCATGACTGATTTATTCATTTCAGATTACAGAAGAAATTAAATTCATTTTATATACTTCCAGACATACTTAGTTACATAATACTTGTAATTATTCTAATTGATTGAATTCATTTAAGGAATTATTTTGGGAAGAGCATGCATTTTATAAACTATCTTATCCACACAAATTGTTAAAATGGGTATAAAATCGTTGTTAATAAATGCATAGCTAAATGATAGGATTCAGCAACGATTTAGAACCATCTTTAAACCTTAACATAGGATTCTCACTGTAAATGAGATACTTCAACGATTCAAGGTGTAAATAATTTGCCTTTTGTTTTTTAATTTCTAAACGTACTTTCAACTTGCATAACTGCAAATTCCACTACCAGTTCATTTTTTTCAGTGCATTCAAATTTATTGAATTGAAGCAGATACCACAGCAAAAACGAACCAAATCAGTGTTAAAATCACACAAGAACAAAAAGAGGTTCGATTTAGGTTCAGTCTCAACATAGAGCAATAATCCTGTAAGGGAAATATATGTACTTACATAGAGAATGGCAGGCTTGAGGAAGACAACCATACAAATAAGCGATTAGTCATCCATGTAGAATATCCAACTTATTTTGGGCAGAGATATCTGAAGGAATTTTATTACAAGATCAACAAATAAAAGGTAAGGGTAAGGAAGGAAATATTTAAACCTTACCTCCCTACGTAAAACGAACAGTTCTCAAATCAGTTCTGCTAATAAAAAACCTTTGCATATTAATTTATAAGAAAGTTGGATCATATCAATAACATTTGAATTAAGTTTCAAGTACAAAATACCCTTGCAATCTTCGGAAGTTCCTCGGCACAAACTTCTACAAATAGCAATGGGATTGCAGCTAATAGATCAGACATTAGACAACCAGAGTGACGACAGATGTGTCATATTATGTATGAAAGTCATAATCAGGACAACAAACTGTCCAGAGAAAAGAGCAGCATTCGTAATCTGATGAAACACAAAATGTTCACATTTACATTGGTTACAAAACTTTCCCTGAAAACCTCATAGGGAAATCCGGGTGAACAGATGGATGAAGCCCGGCAAAAAACTTGAACAGCATCATGCTGAGGAGCTGAACCTGCAAAACACAAGTACTAAAATAAAGTGCAGGGGAGGGCACTATACGGAGAGTAAATAGGAAGGTCAATTCAGCAAATGGAAGCTGATTTTATTAGAAATATTAAATGTATTTACAAAAGCCTTTTCTCTGATTTGTAAGAGCTACAACCAGGAGTGGTTGCTACGATATAATCACTAGGAATGAATACTAACTTGTACCTAGAACAAAATGATCTTTACAGTGGAAATCCTGAACTTCAACATGGGCAAAATCCCAAACAGTTGGATAGGTCATTAAAAACAACTTAGAGAAGGAAGTCTACCAAAGAATATATATAACCTAATTGACGACAGGATTAGCCACAAAACCATCCTATGTAACTAGTCATTTCTTAAAGGTACTTTGTTTCCTTTGTCATTGGTATAATGAACAGTACTATACACAGAAAGCGGTTTCAAACCATCATATTCAAGTCTGAAAGATCATCCATGGGAATT